ATCCAAACGAGCCCTAAATAGCCGGAGAATAAAAACAATTTCTTATCTTATTATTTTATTATATATATAAGAGGCTAATGAAGTAGGTCATAGACGACACGTCTACTCTTAGCCAGGGTAATTTATGATATTTTGTATTTCTTTTTAGGAGATAATATTTGTGATGGTCATTCAATTAAAGTTTTTTTTTTTCACTTGAATAATTTGAAAAATAATTGTCATCTTGATAAAATAATTACTCACACAAATTATAATAGAAAGGAGAACAATTTTTTTCTAATATATCGTTATTTAATTATAGAAAATTTCTAATACTACTAAGTTGTAATACATGCTTTTTGTTTCCATCCAAATTATTTCACTTTAATTCAAAGAAGTGGCACTATTGTAGAAGTGAAACGTTGTCATAAGTATTGTCAATAAAATTATGAACTTCATGCCAGAGCATCGATTAGTTATCTTGAGCGAATTTATTTTGAATTGTAAAATGTACTATAAATGTAAAATTGTAACTAACCTATGATACTCATTAGTGCCTTAATATGTGTGTCACTTCTAGAGTGAACAACTAAATAGGGACAGAGGAAATATATTCTTATTCAAAAAAATTAATGAAACCTAATAAATATAGATAATTGTTCATGTGCTGATTTTGTGGATTATCCACGTATTTAATGGACTTATAACAAAAAAAATTTCTTAAAAAAAATACGCAAAAGCTAATTAAATTTTTTTTGGGGGAAGACACCAAAATTTTCATGATTTTTGCTAGTCGATTTAAACCTACTTTTATTAGATTAGTTTAATCCTTCTTTTGTTAGGATATCGTTTTATTTATTAAATAAAAATTTCACGTCAACAAAATTTAGTGAAAAGCTAATTAAATAATTGGGTGATTTTATGTAAGTAGAATATTCATAGTTGAGTGATTTTCTAAAAAAGAAATTTATGATTAAGTTATTTTGAAATTATAAAAAAAGTTGAGTGACACTAACTCATAGTAGAGTATAGTTGAGAAATCAAGAATTTCGTAAAGAATATCCAAAAATAATAATTTGTAATATTAAAAATATTCAAATTATGTTATTTAATCGTGTTAAATGTTATTCTATATATAGAATATATTTTTCGATAAAGAGTATCCAATTATCTCTATGTTGCTACGACATTGATTGAGTGACTTTCAAGGAAGAAATCATTAGAGTGAGTGACTGATTATATGAAATATTGTCTCATTTTGTAAGCTTTTAAAAGATATTCTCTCCATTTTAAAAAATGACTTAATTTTATATAAAATAAAATTTTAAAAAAAGTTTTAATTTTATGATTATAAATTAAAATTATATTAAATATATCAAAATATCTTTTAATCTTATAATTTTAAATATATTATATAAAAAATTAAAATTAATATATTATTAATAAAATAAAAAAATTATTTTTTTTAAAACATATTAAAAAAAAATAGAATTATTCTTTTTGAAGAACGAAAGAAGATGATAACTTATTATTCATGAGTGTACTAATTCTTGTTGGACTTAAACACCATTACACGTGTTTCCCTTTTACCTCTTTTGTTGCCCACTCTTTTGGCCTTTTATAGCCATTTGTTTAATTTGCTTCATTACTTATCGGCCCTCCCATTAATGACGGAAGAAAAGCTAAGATACCTTTCGATTCTCTAAAAAGTCCAAGGAGCCGTTTGGATGGACTTACTAAAGCAGCTTTAAAAAAATATTTTTGAAAGTGTTAAAATTTATTTTTAAAATAAGTAATTATGCGTTTGGATAAAAGTGCTAAAGTTAAAAAAAATGTTATTAATGTGTTTGTCAAATAAGTACTGATAAACAACTTTTTAAATCAAAATGTCTGAAATACCCTTAAAAGTTGTTAACATAATAAAAGTTAATTAATTTATATTTTACAGCCATAAATAATTATATTTTACTATCATTCACATATTTCCTTCTCATCACAAATTATTTATAAGAGGAATATAAACTTATTCTAGATTTTAAAGATATATAATTTGAATAGATTAAAGAACGATTTAAGATTTTATTTTAGTTTTACCCATAGGTAATAATAATTGTCTATCATTCACATATTTCTTTATTATCACAAATTATTTATAAGAGTAATATAAATTTTTATTTAAGGTATATGTGCAACTTATTTTACATTTTAATAATATATAATTTGAATAGATTACTTGAAAGATTTAAGATTTATTTTATTTTCATTCATTAGTAATAGTAATTGTCTATCATCCACACGTGAAAAGGAAAAATAGAAGAAAGAGATGTTAGGGTTATGTGGGTAATTTAGAGATTGTATAAAAATATTAAGGACAAAAAGGTAAAATGTGGTCAACTTAAAATAGCTTATAAG